AGGTGATATAGTCACATAGACCCTAGGGGTGGCTGTATTAGACCTACCGGCTATATAAAGGGGTGTTGGCCCCCCCTTCGAGGGTTGGAGGGTTCTGGATTCAATGAATATTGACGCCTATACTATCCCTTCTACCTACCTACTTGACTGTGACTGACCTTCTACTCACTCCGGGACCAACCTGTCTGACATTGGTGCTCACTCTAACTCGGTGGACCAGGAATACGCATGTAAAGAGGAATTGTCCCACTGCTCGGGGTGACGTACGAAGTATATCCCGGAATCCTGCGGACCAACAACAAATGCAACAACCAACATGCATTGAATCAGGCAGTAGCCCCTCATTTCAGCCATCCTTCTTGCAAGAAGGGGCAGCCTTATCTACCGTATACAATTAGGTATGTATTCACAGGTAGTCACCACAAACATTTCTAGAGCTCTTGGGTAATTTAAGTCTGGTACCTTCCAGTAGCCGGGGGTTAACGAAGACTACCAACGAGCAATCAGATAGGTGATTATCTGTTAGCGAGAACACTCTCCCAAAAAGCGTGCCAATCTCTACATGCCTTAATAGACGTGCTAAAGTCCCAGAAGCAGTGGGCTCTAGTAAGTCTAGCAGACGGATTTCTGTTGCCGGTGCCTTTGACAGTAATGATCGGAAAGTGAAGTCATTGTTGAACATAGAAACGAGAATAAGCATGTTGGTCACAACACGGCACGATAAAATTACTAAAATTCCTAACTTTCACTGTGACTACCAACAACATACTCCCTGCTTCGTTACTTCTTTTAGCTACTACGGCCATCGCTATTTATTAAGCGAACAAGAAATCAATTAATACCAAATAACTATTTAATGCCCCTGTATATACAGCGAGAATGCAATACTTGTTATTGTGGTGGCATTCTTGCTGCAAATGGTATGTTCAGGTCGACGCGGCTCAATAAGGAACCGGTTATGTAAACCGTTTATGAAAACCCACTCCGTTTTAAGAACCGTTTCAAAACACGTTGGATATGCATAGGCGTGCATAAATCCTGCTGCTCACTGCTCAGTGCAAGTCACTTAACTGAGGATCGGGTGAGTCGAGCCTGAGCAAAGCAGCATCTACGCTAAACTCCATTTGTTTGCGGCACAGAAAGTGGTAAAACCTACTCGCCTAATACCTACTTACTTAGGCATGGAATGGACAGAGTCTGGACAGAGAATGGAGCTTGAAGAAATTGTCTACCTCGATAGATGCATATCTTATCGGAATCTTTAGATAGGCAGTTAGGTGGGAAAGGCGCCAATCAAAGCGGCAGCGCATTTTTTAAGCTGCGCTACGTGGGTAGTCAAGAGTCACCATGATTAATTGAGTGCCGCTTAACGCGCCTTGATGTCGCAGTAGTGCAATATTTTTTCATCCTCAGCCTTTATTCTCGTACTTCTGAGAAATCGTCTCCATTAGGACAGCACCACCCCATACACGTAACGTAGCGGCTACGTTTGTTTCATGCGTCATCGTTTTTGCCATGCTCCAGCTAGGTCGCCATAGACTGTGCCGCCTCACTAATCCCCATGTCTGCGCCCGATGCCTGGCGACAGCTCGTCCGGCCTCTATTGTCTCCCGGCGACTTCTCGTTGCTAGCCACCATGTCCGCCCTCTCAGCACCACGCTCGCCTACCGAGAGGCTGCAACCTCGGAACCAAAGCCTGAAGCAACGCCTGAAGCGAACCCCGCCAGCCCAAGTCCAGCAACCGATGTAGAAGCCAAGACTGCTGACCCTTCCGCGCCTCCTGCCAAGAAGAAGAAAAAGAAGCTGAGCAAGGAGAGTGGAAAGGGAAAATCTGCGCCGGACCCCGAGACCCAACGCCAATTGAAGGTCCTCCAGGGTGCGCTTGTGGCCTTGAAGAATGTGCTCTCAACGCAAGGTGTCGACGTTAGCCAAATACCGACTACGCACGCAGATTCAACTCCACTAGCCCTTCCTTCAGAAGAGACTAAATCCAAAGCGAAGCCTAAAGTCAAATCTAGGTCGAAGTCTAAAGCCGAGAAAAAAGCCGACAAGTCAGAAGCCGCTCCAAGTGAAACGACACAGCTTGATACACAACCCGTGGAATCGCCGGCAGCAGAGTCAAAAGTCGCGCAGACAGAAAGACCATCCAGAAGAGAGCGCAGAAGAAAACAGCAAAAGGAGAATAAAGATGTAAAGAGAAAGCCGAAGAGTAGTCACCGGGTCGGGCCAGCAGGGGACTTGGATGCTGTCCGTAGTATTCTACAAAAGGATATGGCAGGTGAAGCCTACGTAATAAGGCATGTGGCTCCAGGCACATCATCCAAGAAAAAGGCAGCACCACATGGAGGCAAGAAGAAAGACTGGACAAAATCGGTTGCTACAGGGAACGTACTGCCCGACAAAGTGCACACCGCCGAATTGTCACTTGTTCCAATTGAAACTGTCCAACCAGATGTCCCATCACTCTCATATGGACTGGAGAGGGTTCTCTTCAATTCTGGGGTCTACCAGCTCCAAGATCCTCGCTCCCGAGTATATAATTTCGACCCTTACCTATCGGAAATCATGCCTGTTAAAGAGTTTGACTTCAATGCACTGAAGCAGTATGTGACTTCGTCGAAGGATACAACGCTTATCTCGATTGCAAAGCAGAACCAAAAGAAATATACTGGGTCAACGTCCAGCATGACCTCCATGCTTGCCCATTTTCATTTTCTCCTCTCTAAATGGCGAAACATCAATGTGTCAATGCTGTCTAGGGGCTTTGAACCCGAATCTTTTCAGTACACTCAAATCATGAGAGCGCCCGCGGCAACCTTTTTGCATTGGAAAGATGGCACATATGCCATTGATGCAGACAAGGAATATGATACCGCCAATATCCTTAGCATGCTGGGCAAGTCGATGGAGAAGCTTTTGACGCTCCCTAAAGACGAGTACGAAAGGTATCGACGTGGAAATTCGGACCAAATCACAGAAGAAGAGCGAAATGCTGAGGAAGCCTTCCACTATACAGGGTTTCAGGATTTTATGATGCGGTCACAGCTTGATGCTTATGATCCAAGAATGCCAGGAACAGGCATGTTTGACCTCAAGACTCGTGCCGTTATATCTATCCGCATGGACGCTCAAGGTTATGAGAAGGGCCTCGGCTACGAAATTCGAAAGCGGTTTGGTCAATGGGCGTCCTTTGAGCGAGAATACTACGACATGATACGGTCTGCATTTTTGAAGTATTCACTACAAGTCCGTATGGGTCGAATGGACGGCATATTTGTCGCATTCCACAATACTCAACGCATCTTTGGGTTTCAGTACATTCCTCTCACTGAAATGGATTTGTCCCTCCACGGAACCGATAATAGAGAACTGGGTGATCGTGAATTCAAAGTCAGCTTGAAGCTGTTGAATGAGCTTCTTGACCGTGCTACCCAGAAATGGCCTCAGCAATCTTTGCGTCTCCACTTCGAGACTAGGGCATCCGCGGAGCAGCCATATATGTATTTTTTTGCCAAGCCCACTACCCCTGAGGAAATAGAGGCAGTACAAGGTGCATCGAAGGCTTCTGTAGAAGCCTTTGAGAGGAACATCCTTGGTTTGGTGAAATCTGCTGAAGAAGAAATGGAAATCCAGAGCGGAGTTGACGACGGGAACAAAGATGACTTGAGCAGAGTTGACCCTCCTGCCGCTGAAGAAACAGATAGTTATGCCATCTGGCAAGAAGCCCGACAGATGGTCGAAGAAGCAATGGGAGATGATGAACATGGAGTCGGACTGGTACGAGAAGCCATCGGGGATGCACTTGAGGAAAGTGGTATTCTCCGTGCTAGGTCTCTAATAGAATCGCGCGAATACGTCGACACACTCCTTGAGGCTCTGATTGGACGCACACCATCGACTCAAGAATCCGCAATCACCACTGACCCGAATGAGGAAGAGACTGTTGACGAAGATGAACTTGAAGAACAAGCTACCGAGCAGAACGAACACGTATCGGATAGCAATTACTCGCCCACAGAAACACGCTCAGAAATCACTGAACCAGTAACCCGCAGTTCCGCCTTGAATCAAGAGATTGGCCCAGAAGCGGAGCTGGATTCAGAGGGCCAACCTCTAGAACATCGAACCACTGGAGACGCAAGTGACTCTGATACTCGCACTAACTCTGCCGAATCAGAAGCTCCACTAACACCAGGAGATAAGTCACATATCGATCAGCCAGTGGAAGATGTTGATGAAGTGCAGTCACACGATTCTCAGACAAGTTCCAACGATTCCATTAAAGAAGCATCCCTGGTGACGTCTGATGATACCACTGATATAACAAAAGAAACAAAAGAGGATGGGTCGCTTACGAGAAGCCTGAAAAATGCAGAGGAGGACTATGAGGAGGTTGATGACGACGAAGAAACAAGCGAAGCCGAGCTTGAGGATGACGCTGAGGGAAAGGAATTCAGTGAAGACATTGGATCTTCGACGTTAGAGCCACTGAAGAGTCTCATCATGCGTATGGCGCGAAGGATTGATGAACAGGCTGTCTCTGATACCAACATCACCAGCTCTCAAGATGATGCATCCAAGCTAAAAGAATTCGAACGAATTCTTGGACGGCTTATCTCACAATCCAGAATGGATCATGTCGAGGGAGACAGCAATGGTGATTTACGCAGTGAAAGCCCCCCCACAGAATCAATTTCGTCAGATAGTGGTGTGACAGGTGCAGCTGTTTCAGATGAGGCAGCCGACATTACAGGAACCCAGAATGAAGATATACAAGGACTGGCCGACACCAATCGAGAAACTTCAGATTCCGAGCTGCTTGCTCTTACGTTAACCATTAAGAACAGAGTCAACGGCGCATATGTAGATCGACCTCGCGAACTTAGCGAAGAGGATGATTGGACTGTTGAATACGAAATTGGAGAAGTTGAACAGCGGCGTGCAAAGATTATCTACGATAAGCTTATGCAAAGGCGCCGTCAAACTCTTGAAACCTCGAACAACAAAGATCAGGAATGGTATCAAATGTTCAAAGGCAACCTTCCGAAATTCACCCAACAAGGTCGAGAGTATAGACAAAAAGAGATGGAGAGAGCAGAAGGGAAGCCCATACATATGGTCGGCACCAAAGGCCCACTCGAATGGGCAGAGGTCTTTGGTAGACAGCCTAAGAGTTCACAGAACTCAGACGATGGGGCCCCATTGTCCATCATGGACGAGCCAGAGTCTCAAGTTGGAGAGAATAAAGAAGATACGTCGAGATAAACAGCAGACACATTCCTCTGGTTACTCTCGTAGGAGCACAGAAACAACGTATATACCTATTATTTGTATACTGGACAATGCGCTGGCACTTGGGAGTACGCCAGAAGGGATATTATATCTGTAACATAGAATAGTATGACTGTATGTACAAACTGCTAGCATGGGAAACATGGCGGCACGGTTCACGGTATACATAAAAGGGCGATTATGTCTCAACTCTTATAATTATGTGTAATAACAGATCAAATATGGCATATTACCTAACGCGCAGTTTCTCCTAAGTGATCAACTAGCGGAGCAAAACGTGTGACTAAGTTGATACCGATGTTCTCTCACATGAATATGCTATCAGCTAGGCTCTTTCTATTTACTTTCTTTTTCTCATATCGTACCGGAACTATTTCTAGTTCATTAAACGTCCGCTAGGAAAGGCGCAGACAAGCACGAAATACCATGAACTTATACATGAGTGCACAATCTTTCTGTTGGAGCTTTCAGTACGTGTTCTACAATCTTACCATGTCTTCTAGTAGGTTATGTATATATAAGGAAGTCTTCTTTTACCCTCCAACGAATATTTCTGTATCAATCATTTCACACTTAAAACGGGTCGAAATGGAGCGTTGTTTCATGTTTCAAATCTATGCTAATAAGGGGAGCATGTGACTTTTCTTTTTTTATCCATTATCTAAAGCGAGTACCGCGATGCATCGCTCCACAGGCCGGCCACGGAATCATCGGACCGTGTAAGCTCAACGATGAGATTGAGCCGGAGCTCGAGAGGTGATGGACGCCGCGGAAACTCGCCAGCCTCAAAGCCCTCGCTGACGAAAATGAACCGCTTCACAGACGCTCGACCCAGGGCCTCTGCATGCTGGTGAAGCAAAGCAATCACGCCGCGTGTAAAGGGGTCCGCGAGGAGCAATTTGTGGAATTCCTTGTGTTTGGGGAAGTCACCCTTGAGCTCGATGGTTGGAGAAATCTCCACGACACCGCGAGAGAGAATGTTGCGTCCTGTGAGTTGAAATATGCGCTCGAAGGTGGCTCGTGAAGCCGGATTGAGAATGTTGGCTATGCCGAGCCAGCGAAGCTCTGAGAGGGGTGCGGTGGAAGAGGCGATGCAGGCTGAGATGTAGTTATCTACTATCATGTCCCTGTATCGCATGGGTGTATAACGCTTGCTCACGTCTGGGCTGGTTAGCTGTACGCAGAATGTCACGTATGCGTTATGCAAGGGGGATACAGCGTACCCGTTGAGAAGCTTTGGTTTTTGCGAAGATCCTGGTCGTGGTAATGTGATCTTGTAGGAGGCCCATCCCGGAATAGTAGGAGGAGAGAAATGCAAACTGGGTTTCATGCTTGCATAGACGAGATAGGGGTCTATGAAAGCCGTGTCTTTGGGCTCCCAAACCGTGGGTTCACGTATCAAGCCGAAGTCTGAGATCGTGGATTTTAAAGCATTAGCGCCGATGGCACAGTTGACACTGTCGAAACTAGTGCTTGTCATATTTTTTCCCTGCTTATATGAAACCTAAACAATGGGTTATAAGTGATTTAGAGGCTCAAGAAGATGAAGTAAGTATTGCAAAATTAAGACGAGTATGATATGTTAGTCACTCCGATAGAACGTACAGCTTAAGATCGACCGCAGAATTATAAATACTCTGTATTATTCTCAACCGTCTTACATCTGTATAGCCTTTGCAGAGCGTGAAACAAACCTATAAGGGAATTGTTTCGAAGAACAAAGGGTATGTTACCACATCTCTTTCAGAGGGTGCTATCTTCAATGAATGGGCAGAGCTCCTGAGCTACCCTTACCGAACTTAGTGGTAGTCAATCGATTAAATCAAAAGAAAAGGGCTAAACTTAATATTTGACACCCTCATGGGTGATCATTAGTACACATTCTTCATTGATGGGTAGAACTGGACATGGTTGTGTGATAGGAGTTTTGATTCCAACTGCAAAGCAACTCATCTCTCATTATCCGTCAGTCATTTGTCTGTGCTCATCTCGATGCGAGATTTCGGTTAAGCTGCCCTATACTTTACCTTACCTTACCCATAGTGTTGTCTTTTGAATCTACCTGGTTGCTTAGGCACCAAGATCGTAGTAGATACATTTGGTCGTTCTGAAATTATAGACAAAGGCGTGGCGGCTTCCACCCTTTTCTTCCCATGTGGATCGCCAATCGGACAACATGTTATGGACATCTCGCATATATCTTCTCTCGTTTTTGTCAACAGCTTGCTCTGCCTTGCGCCAGCTTTCAGTCTCTGATAGAGCAGTGCTTTGAATCAGGTCGAGGACATGATCTGATGTCTCCACAGCTGCGATAGGACCGTCTAAAAAGTTCTGAACCAAGCTCGCGGCATTACCTTGGGCTTGTTCGATAACAGTCTGACGGTTGAACTTCTTGGACCTAGTGCCGGCCACTAGAACACGCACCTCCTGTCTAGGATTTGGTGTAACGCTAGCTCCTTCGGACGGTGACGTTGCACTTCCTGTCGTTTCCGATTGCTTGTGCATTATATGGAGACGAGAGCCGCGCTCACGGAGTGCAGCCCTAAGCCATGGTAAAAGCTCAGTTATTGCGATTTCTGTGTCTGCAACATCCTTACGATCCATCGTTCTAATTTTGAGGGTGTCATGCTTGATTATGATGATCCACGAATACGACTCGTCTCTGTTTCTAGAGATGAGCTCTTCTGGTGAGCGGGAATCACGCGCCAGCTCAGCACTGATTTCGTGGCTCCATAGGGTTGACACTATCTCAATGCCAGTAGTCCGTAGAGTGTGGGCGTCAAAACTTGCAACAAGCACATCACACTACGGGATGTTAGTAAAGATCCTTGTCCCGGCGAGACAGGGCAACTTACTCGTTTAGTACTGAATACACCCTGTTGTTCCTCTTCTGGCTTCTTTAAGAAAACCTTATTGTTCGATTTTGGTAATCTCGCCAGCTTCTCCCAGGCCAAGCTAAAACCAACAGCGTGAGGTCCGTCACCCTGGCTGCCAATCTTAGGACGATGTGCCCTGATCAGGCTATCATATCGACCACCGGCCGCGAAAACATCTTTGAATTTCTTGTCGTAAACACATTGAAACAGTATACCACCGGTAAAAAAATTAGCCTTGATACTGCTTAGGGGGTTAATGTATATCTTGGCATGGACACCTAAGCGTTTCGTATATTCAATCACCCCTTTCAAATGTGCAATAGTTGAATGCAACTGCTGGTAATAAGGCGTGCCTTCAAAAAGTGACTTCAATTTTGCAAATGCTTTTGTCGGTGTATCTTATAGACTCTTTAGCTTGCTAGTGGCGTTCTGGGGACAACTGAAGGCTTACCTCGGAAGTCGAAGCGACGTAGATCCTCAATGCTCGTGGCTGATATCCCTATCAAAGGCGATCGTAGTTCAGCACGAATCTTTTGAAACGTGAATGAGTGAATATTCAACTTTGTCAACGACTCTGCTGTTGACTGCCTCGCGTTCAAGTCGATATTGCAATACTCAAAAATAAGCTGTAACAGATCTGAGTGGCCCAGATGGAAGCACATAGATGATGTGCTCGGAAATGTCTCGATGATTTCATCCAAGACCTTAATGACTTCAGCCTCTTTCAACGCCAAATCAAGCGTGTCTGCTGAAACGATATCAAAATCGACCTCCCCAATCATCTGTGGCTGACCTCCATTCTGCCTGTCCCGATAGACATGTCCAAACGCGAAGGATCGGCGAATATCTGGTGGATGCGATTGCTTTGCTAATAATCGAGCATTTCCCAGCATCAAATCGAATGGCAGCTGGACTACCGTCCCATTCTGATCCAGGAGCTGCACGATATTCTGGCTAGCGGAATAATGAGACGAGCGCGGATAAAGGGAGCTTCTAGGGGCCTCGACCGCGCCATGTCGGCGGAATATAGACGTTAGCTCTTCTTTTACTATGCCTCTATGCAATAATTCAGCAACAGTGGGGCATGGAGCGGACATGTCCCAAGCGAAGTCCTTTGTTGGTTCTAAAGGCGTAGCGAACAGCGCCGAGACTACCTTCGGGTAATATGGAGAGCTTGTGCTTGTAAGGCTTGCCAGCGCCCGACGCGTCGTTTCATTTTCCATTTGTATGGGTAGCTTTCCGCTTCTCAAAAGCTCTGCACTAGATGGGCGTACCTTGACGTCGTGTGTTACAAGGGACTGCACAATATCCGCTGGGATGGCATTGCCAGGCTGGAAGTCGTCCGGCAGCTGACCATTTTGGCCCAATTTACCTAGCTTATCCGCTCGTTCCATGCCTACAATGGAATAATAACACATCTCAAAGAAAATGATTCCTAGTGAATACATCTGTGGTGAATTTTAGTAAATCGGGCAGTTCAACAGAAAGAGGGCGCTTACATCGACCTTGGAGGTGTATGACCCGCTACCTTGTCGACGAACTTCGGGCGCCACATAATAAGACGTCCCAACACTTCTTGTTAGTTCATTGGAATCCAAGTTGGTAAAGGCAGTCTTGTCTACTGCAAACTGCCCAGTTGTGGCTAAGCCAAAATCACCAATCTTGACATTGTTCACGCCGTCAGGTCCTAGCCCGATGAAGATGTTCTCTGGTTTGAGATCCCGATGGACAATATTGAGACCGTGAATATGAACAAGGCCTTCTAATACCTGGCGGAATAAACGCCAAACTTCTTCGATTTCTTTCCAGAGGTTGCGCTGGATCAGATCCCGCAGCGTCTAAGTAGAACATAGTCAGTAAGGGGAAAGTAGCACATTCTCAGACCATATCCTATTACTTACCCTTTTGTCACAATATTCCATGGATATGTACATCACGGTTCTGAACCCTCTTTGCTCACTACGAACCCTGACTGGGGATGACATGCCCGCCAGCGGATCGCTAGTCGAATTGTCACTATCGGGCTCGTCTTCGGAGTCGTCTCCGTCGTGTCCGTTCTGGTCCGGTTCATCCTCATCACCACTTCCTGAATCGTCATAACCAAATTCGATGTTAGGATGGCTCGAAGAGATGAAATCTAGCCCACCAGTGCTGGTGACAAATGGAACATCTGAACCTTGCGTGGCCGTATCTTTTGAAGCATCGGTATTGAGATAATCGGTGGATGTTTCACCGTCATTGTCTGAAAAATCAGGTACTTCCTCCAGCCAAGTATTGTAATATCTCACAACAGCAGGGTGACTGAGCTGAGAGAGCAGCCGGACTTCCTTTAAAATCTCTGTAAGACTTGATTGGGACCGCTGTGTAATTTTTTTGATAGCATATATCTGCCCATCAAGTTTCTTCCTCGCTTTTACCACTTCTCCGAAACCACCCTTACCTAATCGGCCTTCTTCGACAAAATCTTCTCGGTAGCGGGAGGAAATACCATGCTGAACAGTCGAATCGCGTCTTAATCTTAGAGGTAGCGCTTGTGGAATAGAGCTTAACGACTGCGAACGGGGCGAGCTAGAGATAATGGACTCCTCGATTACCACCGGGGCATCAGTCGCAAGGAATTCACTCGAACTCAATTCAAACGCTCGGGGTCGCTTTTTTGGATCCAGTTTGAAAAACCTCGCTACTAGTTCGTGACAGGAGCTGGATAGACAGACGGACTCGACAAGAGCACTTGGGGACTGGTACCTTTGAAATACATCTATACCAAAAATCATCTGTAGGAATACAACACCAAAATCCCACACGTCTGATTTCTGCGTGAGATGTGGCTTTGAGTTTCCAGCAACCTCGGGGGCTAGCCAATACGAAGATCTGGCTGAGTTCACGGAGGACACAGAGTTAGACTTGCGGCAAATCGCATGCATTTCTCTCTGGTATGCAATATCAGAAAGCTTTGGCACAATATCACCTGTAGGTTCTCGGAAGAGAAGAATATTGCTAGGGTGTATATCCTGGTGAACGATCCCATGGCTATGCATAAACCCCAGTGCATTGAGTAGGTCTGCAGTCCATGAACGAACTTTACCTACATCAAGCCGGCCGGCCAATTCGATAAGTTCACCAAGTGGGCCCTTGTCAGCGAAGGGTGTCAGAATGCGAGCAACCCAGCCTGCAGAAGCGGAATGATTTTCAACATGCATTGGGTCGATGCGGTAGTTCAGCAGGCTGGTAATGTTGCGATGAGTTATCTTCTTGATAGATTCTAGCAGATTCTCCAACGCCTGTAACTGTTTCTTGAAATTAGCGGATTCGCTAGGTGAGGACCGCAGCTCGAACTCCTTAAGGGCAAGACCGCGACAATCCTGAGCACCAACTAGGGCAGGCCACACCCGATATGTAGTCGAGATTGGACCCTCTTGTACCATGGTCTTGCCAATGACGGTATTGAAATGGAAGACATTTCCAGCTAAGTCAGAAATCTCACTAGGTTGATCAAACTCGATGCGGCTCTCTCCAATATTAGCGGTGGCCTCCGGGTAGCTGCTGGGCATGGTCAGTGGCTTCTGACGTCTCTTGGATTCTTTGACTTTGAGTCGTTGTCGTTCGACCTCTTGCTGCAGCATATCTTGCATAACCCGTTCTTCTTCTTTGATAGCATCACGTTTTCTACGTTCTGCCTCCTGTTCCTGCTCCAGAGCTTGCCTAGCAAGCTCATTCTCGTGAGCCGCCCGCTCCTCTTCTAAGGAGGGCAATTCTAGCCCCTGGGCCTTGGTGTGAGCAGCATCTTCGAGTATATCCTGCAGTCCCTCGACTAATTCATGTATCATGGGCTCAGCCTGTCCTGAAGCGACCAAATCTTTCGGCCTCGACTCAATAAATTTCTGCAGCTTAAACAGGATTGATTCATTTAGGGAGGAATCATCTTTTAGGCTTAACAGGGGTACGGATTTTGGATAAGTGGCAGTGAGAACAACACTCAAGGTCACAGCCATGTCCTCGTCTGAGAGAGCTTTGACACGAATATCAAACGAAGGCTCTGACTTCTTCCAAGCTACATTTGCAGCTTTGTGTTCAACGTAGTCCTCTCCGTAAATGGCCTTGAGCACCATGGTCTCTTCATTCTGGGTATCGATATAGTGTGTCTTTGGGCCCGTGTCCGGGCTGGTGGGGGACAGCCCGGGGCGGTTTGAGTCATCATGTCTCTTGGGGTTGGGCTGCTGAGGCGCTTTCCACGGTCCAGGTGTTTTCCACGCCATGTTGATTCAACATCAGAGTGAGCAGGCAGTAAGCAATAGAGATGTTCGGTCCGGGCAAGGTTGGGCGAACAGAGCAGACAATCACAGCCGAAGCTGTGTGTCTTTACTGACCTGGTGCCATTTTGCAGCAGTGGCTATGGATGACTTTCAGGGCTAGATATGGGTGGGTTAGTGGTGAATATGAATGTGAGTGACTGGCTTTTTCAAGTCTGTTTGACTCAACAATCTTTCAAGGTGGGCGGAGATGCAAGACAGCCAACCAGGTACGGGTACGGTCTATAATTCAGAGCTGAATCCGATGAAGTACCTGTACTTACCTAGATAGCTGCAAAGCCGCTGCGACGGGAGTTACAATAGGTTACATCAGCGTCAATCGTAGCCTACAAATCGCCTATTCACCTCACTAAATTCAAGCCCGTCTGTAGGTAAGGAGCTGCTGGCGATATACCTAGCTAGGTACTGTACTTATACTCATCTAGTGCAGCTAGTGGGTGAAACTAGGTAACTGTCTACAGTGGCCAAGGTCCCCGGGTATCCACAGAGACACGGGTATTACCGCGCTAGTGACGACAGACCCCTCGAGAAAGTAAACATTCTCCATCATCAACATCTCACAGCTCAGACTGCAGAACACCACAACATTCAACATCCAGCGATCTTGCTGCTTCGAGCCCGGTCAATTGCACCGCGACATACCCAAAATAATCACCAGCTCAATCAACATCATTCGAAACAGACACTTTTTCGAACAAGCCAGACCAGCACCATGCTTGGTTGGGCTCTCAAGAAGGGCTTCCAGGGAGCCACCGGCCTCCGCGACGCGCCTGAAGACTCAGGTACTATCTTCCCTTCACAACGAAACAATAGTTGTCTTGCTAATAGCGCACAGGAGATACGACGCAATTCGATGCCCCGGACACACCTGCGCCCGTTTTCGCAGCACGCGCCATCAAGAACGCTATATGGGGCCAATCTGCTGCGGCAGACGAGAATCCAACCAACACTGAGCGCGTCAAACCAGCGCAGAGCGCAAGCACTACAAAAGAAATCCCAGCGGAGCCTAGATCACCGGCAAAATTAAATAGCATACTTCTGACGCCCGGAACAGGGACGTCTCGTCGGAAGCGTGTCTCCTTTGGTAGAGATGTCAAAGCCGGCAACACTGTCGATTCTAGTCCTCTCGCCACTACCTCTGGCCGTCATGGTCGATCACGGAGGAAAACAACGCTGCAACAAGCACTAGAGAACTCTCGTCCAGCGAAACCAAGAGAACCAGAGGCGGAGTTGGAAGCGCCGGTTGGGGGGGACACTGAAGAAGAATCAGAATGGGAGGATGAAGATATCTGTTGTAATCACGAAATGACCGTGGATCTTAATGAGCCCCACTCAGAGTCGGGAAAGTATTGGAAAGCTGAATGGTCCCGATATCGCGAAGAAGCCAAGTCAGACATCGAACAGCTGGTCAAGTACAAGGCGAATGCCAGATCCTTCGCTGCCAAGAAGGATATGGAAGCGAGCCAGCTGAGTCAGAAATTGAAGGAGGAACAGGCTAAGGTGGTTGAGATGGAAAAGAAGATGGCAGATATGACCTCAAAACTTGCTGCATCAAGGAGACATGGAGCAGACAAGGACAGTGCTTCCTTGACCGAGGACCTTGCACGACAGACCACCCTAGTTGCTCAGTATCGCGAACGAGTTAAAGACTTGGAGACTCGTTTGACGGAAGCTTCCAGCAAGTCAAACCTGAATCGTCCTAGCCACCATCGCATCGACACATCACCTCGGACAGAACAGAACATTCTCGAAGTCAGTCGGGAACTTAGAAAAGCGCGGTCTGAGCTGCGGCAATTAGATCATCTTCGGGATGAAGTCAAACGATTGAAGTCCAACTTGGCAACATCTCGGGAGCGAGTGGCAGAACTTGAGGTTCAGGCGTCCGCAGGGAAAGCCACTGAGTCTTCCCAAGTCGCCAGATTAGAAAAGCAACTGCGTGAGGTCAAAGAAGAGTCACGCCAGAAAGATACTGAGATCATGAACCTTGAGCGGGACTATCAGACCCTGAAGAGCGCCGCCAAAGCTAGAACTGTCGAGGCCATGAAAGTTTTGAGAGACAAAGACACCAAAATCGTAGAATTAGAGAAGAAACTTCAAGACATGGAAGCCGCCCATGCCTTCAATCAGCAAAAGAACTTGGAGGATGACATTGCGGGGCATAATAAGATCTCTCGTGATCTAAAGTCAGGCATCGAATCGCTTGATAAATCTTCAAAACACGAAGCAACAAAACCGAAGTCCCAGCATGCGCGGGCACCTCCCGTTGATGATATCACATTGGACATGGCACATCGCTCTCTGCTTGAAGAAGAGTATAATCGTGTTTCCTCCAATGCTCCCCGGGCGAAAGATTATGGAGCCGGCCTTTTGGCCGACTGGACAGCTGATATACCCACATTCGAACTTCAAGCCCAGGACAAGCATAAACGACACAAAGTCGAGAAACTTAACGATCAGATTGTCGTGGCGGATCCAGATGCTTTACCGCCTCATCAAGCAACCAGAGATACAGAACAGCATTCGCTATATGGCAACGCCGGCAGAATATCCGATGTGCTCTCTAATCGAGTCAATGAGTCATCAAGAAGGCAGTCACGCAGATTACAACAATTAGACGCAAAAGATGTTTCTTCGACCGGAAACGATCGAAATAGCAATGGTCAGCGTGTAGCCAGCGAACAGACAGCATCTCCCACTAAAGGGAAACCGGCGATGCATGGTGCCCTGGATCAGCCGACCCGTCGATTGAGACATCAGTCCAGATCCACGCGTCCAGCATTAGCCCTTAACGACGCATCAGCCATTGACCTGGTGCGAGATCAATTCACACGACTTGGGGGTCCTGCAGTGGACGCCAGCGCCGTTGGAAACACGTCACGTTGTGCTCTGCCCGCCGAGCGGCAGGCGGCGGCTCGAGCCCGCCTTGAACAGAAGAGAATGGAGAGACGGAAGACCAGCGGGCGGGGATTCGATAAAGAAAATGTGAGACCATGAGTTTTGAAGGGGTAAATTGGACAGGCGCCTCAGGTTTTATGTTACAAAAGGATGGTTTTTGTTTATTGCATGTTGGTAAACTGCATCATTGGACGGGCAGGATAAAGATACCGTTGTGGTGGAAATTAGATTGTTATTTTGAGCGACCAAGCGCTTGACAAGCGCGGCGGCGTTGGCGGGGAATCCGGCCTCACTCAAGTGGCTCTTGTCGAATTGGAACACTTACGAGCGAGTATCATGAGCTAGCTATCTACAAACTTTAGCTCCTCTTAAACCATAACTCAGCGATTATTTGATACCCCAATTATTGAGAGTAAACAATGCTACAATGAGTGAAGACGATGATGGCTCTAAAATTGAAGATGAGATCGCGAAGCTGGAGTCGCAGCTTGCGGAGGCAAAGCGGCGGTTGAATACGAGAAGAGAACAAGCTGGAAAGACCACATCACCAACCCTCGCTCTCACGCCTAGTCTAATACCACTGTTACAAGATCCATCATACCACTACCTCCTCTTACTCTCAGACTCCGCGCTTCCACTGGGTTCATTCGCATTCAGCTCCGGGCTAGAATCCTATCTCGCCCACGCGCGCCGCACAACCTCATCTTCCCACCATCTATACAAGCCCTCCTTCACCTCCTTCCTGCCCTTATCCCTCTCCTCATACGCCAGCACAACGCTTCCATTCGCCCTCGCCGCGCACCGCGACCCAGCGCTCATCGCAGAGCTCGACGACATCCTCGACGCATCCATCATCTGCGCCGTAGGCCGCCGCGCCTCGATCGCACAGGGTCGCGCGTTGCTATCAATCTGGGAGAAGAGCCTAGCGCCCTCGTCTGCCGTGTCCGCGGACGCGCGGAGGGCGCTCGAGGGATATTCCGCCATCTTGCGGTCTTCGTCTTCAACTGCTGCTACTGCTTCAAGTTCATCTTCTTCTACGACTGGGCAAAAAGTCAGCGACGGAAGTGAAGAAGAAGAAGAAGAAGAAGAACTTCTCCCGCCGCCAGTGTCCGCACACCTGGCCCCCCTCTTCGGGGCCGTGGCAAGGCTCCTCGGCCTCGCGCCGCGCCAGACGGCGTACGTGTTCCTGTTCAGCCATGCCAAGGCTCTGGTCTCGGCCGCTGTGCGCGCCGGTATGTTCGGGCCGTACCAGGCGCAGAAGATCCTCGCGGGGGGCGAGCTGCAGGTCCTGCTTGCCGATTTGATCGAGCGCGAGTGGAACGTTGACGTTGAACATGCTGCGCAGAGCGTCCCTGTTATGGACCTCTGGATAGGAAGACATGAGATGCTTTACTCGAGGATATTCAATAGCTGATTAGAATAGAGGGATGTTGTTGCTCTTTATGGTAATCCAACAACGATTAGGACAGCCTTTGATAGATTCACCTAGCATAAAATACGCGAATACCGCTATACACTCCATATGACATTCATATTTATACCACAATCACGTTCAGCCGTTGGGGGGAAAATGATTACCATGTAACGACCTTGGGGGTATATATTGATAGAACATAACAGGTAGGTTCTACTTATTCATCGTCGTCACTATCGCTACCGTAATTCACCAACGGCCCTGAAGGCATCGCCGCCTTTTCCTTTGGAGCCGCCGTAACTTTGGCAGTCTTCAGGGCTGCCAATGTACTGCTTGACAATATCCCATTTGACTGAGTTTCCCCTTGCTGTACTATTTCCCCCGGCACAGCATTACTATCAGTATTGCCAGCCTCACCACCTTCGCCACCTTCAATCATTAATCGTTGCTCATGCTCCAACTCATAGCCTTGTCGCCCTATTGGATTAACGGCCTGCGCACCCCGAGCAAAGTAGATATCATCTGGAGCCTCATATCCTTCGAGGCCAAAGCCACTCTCAATCTTTCTCCGTTTCCTAGCCTCAGGATCTCGACCTTCGATCTGAGCAACGAACTCGGCTGGCAACGCCCTGCGTATAGCCTCTGCGGCTTGCTCTTCAATCCGTCTCGCTTCTCTTGCTTGAGCCATAGGGTTAGGGTCTGCGGTTGCCCACCGCACGTTGAGGATCTCGTTGTGGTCGAGTGACTGGTGTGCCATGGCTTCCTTAGCTATACACACGCTACAGTTAGTAAATTGCATCGAAGAGATAAAGGAGTAGGGAAGGTAATTGAATCCAGGAGACTAACCAAATTGCGCGTTGGCCTCGTTCGTATATGTAATAAACGCAACTCCGCGGGTGTTGAGTACTCGGACACGTTCAATTTGTCCCCATTCCGCAAAATGTCGGCTCACGATTTCCTCTGGCAAAGAATTAGCAATTATATTTCAAGGTAAACTAGGATGGCGTACCTATGTCATCAGTGACATGTATTCTTCCCACATATATGGTTCTGTTAGTTCGCATAAAAGAACCTACACCCCTAAATACATTTGTGGTTAGCTGGGTCGATACACTACTGGTGTATTTCAGCGACTCACCCCATGTCGTCTCTGTAATCTGAGTGCCTATCTCTGCCAAAGCAGTCTACATTTGGATTGAAAAGGTCATGCAATCCTGGCAATCGGTGCAGATATTGACAGTCTTGTCCATTGGGACAAATGCCTCTCTGTTTTTGGGATCGCGATCAGTATTTTCCATATACAGAGGATGTTGAATTACATACCGCAAAGAAAAGACAAAAATATGAGCCAGCGACCTTATCAGCTCTGGTGTATCCCGAATCGTTCTGGATATTGCAGCGGCCTTTCGCGGCGGTGGCAATATTGTCTTCGCGATCCCCTTGAAGTCGAGTATTAGACCAAAAATCAGATATGAAAGGGAAAAGCACGAACCTCCGCTCCATTTATTGTACCAAACGTTATAGACAACTCCGGTTTGTGGTGGAGGTTCTGATTTTGCAGTTGAGTCGCATTGGGGCTAGCAAATATTAGTGGACAGGAACGTGACGCGTGTGGTGAAGAAGCTTCCACATACACGTGCCGGCCTTTTCTTCCTGATGATTCGTTTCACTTTCTTAGGCGCCGGCGCAGCAACTTCGCCTGATTGCGCCGGGACAAGTGCTGTCTCTTCAGACATGTGGCGCGTTTGTCTGTTAATCGAAATGCGCGCTCCGGTTGAATTTGATCGTTATGAAGGTTCGAGAGGTTCGATAGATACGAGGCCGTAAAGCACTATGTAGGATATTCGCTGGCGAGGTGGTGAGCTTCGATGCTCAATAAATCACGATGTCGAATAGGTGGTTTTGTCAATAATCATAGTCGGTACGAGGTTTTACCAAATGCCAAGTATGCAACGAACTAGGTTTAGCGCATTTGCCGCTTTATCTCAGGCTGGCACCAGCCAGCTATCAGTCAGGTGACTATGAAACGGCCATTGTGCATTTATGCATTGCTTTATGCAGAGAGCGATAACCTTGAAACCTCCAGGCTTGAAACGGTCCCAGCTCTGAGAACGGTTCTAGCCCTCAAAGCCGTCATAGCCTGCCTGTCTTAACCCCGTATAGATTGGTCGATTGATCTATCGTAAAGCATAATCCAACGTCTGACCGACTAATGCCAAAAACCCGTCCATTTACATCCCGCCCTATCGTTAACCGTTACCAGCGCGCGTTCTGGGCCGTAGCGGCCTTACCCTACAGATTCGGCGCCGAGAGTTAGCAATATGAAGATGGTTAAGATCGAGCTTACTAACCCGGCAGAAAACGTGCAGGAGTATAATTAAGTTACCAACAACACTTAAACAGCTACAACTTGTTAGTTCGAGCTCTAAAAACGGATGTTGGTACAGTAAACAGTTGCAAACATTTAAATTCACGTTAATTTAGATAACTAAGCACCTAGTGGACAAGAACGACATATAGAAGAAGTTTCAGCCTGATTATAACCTTCAATAGTTCATAGTGATTGTGCGCACCTGCAAAGAAATACTGGTTAGGCTAGAGCGATTTAAAAATAACGGGCAAAAGCACGAAGGTTCCTCTTCGTATGTGCACTTCGGGCGGGCACAAACGGAGGTCGCGAAAATATTGCCACTAGACCCAGGTTAGCTAAATAGGCATAGCGATCGTAAGGGTCACGATAACGCATATAGAAATGCCTTAGACAAGGCGATCTCCTAGATAACGCCAGGCTGCGGGCAAGGCACGGCAAGGGGGACGCCGCCGACAGCACACTCGAAACGGTAGCACCATTGGCATTTGCGAACGGGTTCAGTCGACGGACTGGTACGATATGCGTACCAGCATAGGTTGAGACCACGGACCAGTACAACATTCGAACCAGTACAGCTGCAGGCGCCGTACTGGTACGGCCTCGGACTGGGGCTCTTTATAGTATGCGGGGGCTAAACGCTCTTCATCGCCTAGCCGCGCGGCTTCAAGCATTAGACACTCTCAACCGGGATCCCCAACTCCCCACCAACACCTCCAAAGCACCGCAAGCGCGCCCCGTTCCCGCGCATCCATCGCGCGCCACTCGAAGCGCTCAACCCAGCGCGTCGGCTCGACCGCGAACAGACTGAGCACGTACAGCAGGTCTTCGTCGGACATGGTGCCTTGCGGCCGGTAACGGCCGAGGAGATCGGCGGGGGCTACGCCGCTGCGGGTTGGTTTTGGGTTTGCGGAGGATGGTAAGGAAGAGCGCCGCCGTGTTACTGCTTGGGCGATGAGTTGGGCGATTGATGGATGGGATGCTTTCGGCCTGTGTGGGTGGGGGTGAGTAGCTACTATGCCAAAGGATAAAATATACGTACGGGCTTTTTATAAGTAAATAAGTACTAACTAACTGCTGGCTGCTATAACAGATAAAGAGAGAGAGATAAATAGATATAATAGGTCGGTGAAAAGAGAGATTGCAACCGCAGTTAGATAGAACTCGATCGAAGAAGAAAAAAAAAAAAATTTTATCCCAGAGCCGGGAATCGAACCCGGATCCCCCGGCCCCCGAAGGGCATGGTTTTCTACCCCACCACCTTCTACCATGTGTCAACTAGGGATGCTACCTACCATTACACCACTCTGGGTACTACTTTTCTGACCCACTCCTGCCTGGTTAGGTATGTCACAAGTCGGATGGAAGTTGCATGGGAGCAGCTTCGATAAATGGATAGATGTCAGGTATATCATTCGTGCCTCTGTATCAGGAGAGATATGTGTATAAACGTTAATTGTAACTAAAAGGTAAATGAGCTTCCTCTTCGCGAGTTGGCTTACTTACCTAAGCAATGGATACCTATATCCTTTTCCCCCCTTATTCCCCAGATCATACGACAATAGCGCGCTGCAGCGCTGCAGCTCCCTAACTCAAGTAGGTAGTCAAGTACCCCGCTGTAACCCCTGTCGTACCTCGGCCATACTTCGTAAGCTGGTGCTGATGATTTGACATTTCCGCCTCGGCCTGGAGCTGCATTATCCATCTTCAGTTTAAATGTCAATAGTTTTTGTGAAACCTGTTTGGGACCATTTTTATCTTTTGCAGCAACTGTTTTGAAAGAATTCCGGGCCATAGCGTGTTGTCTGAACTATCTGTCGTGATGTCTGCTCAAATCCCTGATCTAGTATGCTACCTTCCTACCGCCACCAGGTCAATCCAAGCATGAGTTCAAGTCCACTAAGAGATACAACAGGTCGCCAGTCGCGTCAGCGACAAGGCAAAGAGGCAATTAGATATCGTCGCCAAATTTGTCGAGGAAGAGTGTATCCCGTAAGGTTTCTTATATTATACAAATCTTAAACCTCATTCCCTTACCGAGCCTAATAGTCGTTAGTGCGGATCCCGTCTTCGAAGCCCAGATCGGGCAGGGTGCATCACGATGGGAAAACCATCCAGCTATCATAGATGAGCTAAAGGCAAAAGCAAAGAAACTGGGTCTTTGGAATATGTTCTTGCCAAAGGGCCACTATAAGGAGTCGCCGGGATACACGAACTTAGAATACGGTCTGATGGCCGAGTGGCTGGGCAAATCTAGGACAGCATCGGAAGCCACAAACTGTGCCGCCCCTGATACAGGCAATATGGAAGTTCTAGCCAAGTACGGCAACGATGCCCAGAAGGCAAAGTGGCTCAAGCCCTTGATGGATGGAGAAATTCGATCCGCCTTCCTCATGACAGAACCAGATGTGGCTTCCTCTGATGCCAAGAATATCCAATTGAGTATGAGGAAAGAGGGCGATGAATATGTCCTCAACGGATCAGTTAGTCCCCTTTCCATCCTATCTATCTACATCAAAGACTTATCCTGTTACAGAAATGGTGGTCTAGTGGCGCAGGTGACCCGCGATGTAAGGTCTATATTGTTATGGGCAAGTCGGATCCCGATAACAAGGATCCATACAAGCAACAATCCGTCATTATCGTACCAGCCGGCATCAAGGGCATCACCATTCACCGGATGTTGAATGTTTACGGTTATGATGATGCGCCTCATGGACATGGACACATCTCATTCGACAATGTCCGAGTGCCTGCCAGCAACCTTGTGCTTGGTGACGGCCGCGGCTTCGAGATCATTCAAGGTCGCCTTGGACCTGGTCGAATTCACCACGCCATGCGAAGCATCGGAGCGGCCGAGAGAGCGCTAGAGTGGATGTTGATGAGAATCAACGACCCCAAGAAGACGCCCTTTGGCAAGCAGTTGAGGCAGCATGGCGTTATCCTCGAGTGGGTTGCAAAATCCCGTATTGAAATCGATTCTGCGCGCTTGGTCGTACTAAATGCGGCGGTGCGGATGGATGATCTCGGCCCGAAGGCCAGTCTCCGGGAGATTGCGCAGGCGAAAGTGCTCATTCCCCAGATGGCTCTGACAGTGATTGACCGAGCCGTACAAACCTTTGGTGGAGCCGGTGTGAGCCAGGACACACCACTCGCCAATATGTGGGCGCAAATCCGGACTCTCCGGTTAGCGGACGGGCCCGACGAGGTTCATCTACAGCAAATGGGTCGCAACGAGAACGCGAGGGGGCAAGAAGTCACGCAGAAGATTCAATCCCAGAAGCAAAAGACGGAGCAGCTGCTGAAGCAGTACGGCGTACAACGCTTCCAACCAGGCACAAAAATCCAGCACAAGTTATAATGTACTACAGCACATAGGTATCACAGGTCATAATATGGAGTTTATTGAGGCTTTCGATATAAATTGGCTGAGTGGATAAGGCTGGGGAATCTCAAGCCCGTGTAGAAGTAGGCAATCAAACAGATGTCATTGTTACCCAATGACAAAGTTCGCTCTCTTGTCACGAGTTTATGTTGTTGTTTATGGACCCTTGAAAATTAGGGTATACTATGGATGTCGATATACCTAGGTAGGCTCATGGTGTAGTGTAAGTGACGAAGTTCGCTCTGGAATGTGTTTGTTTACAGTACACAACCCTGTCTACAGGGCCCGTGTGCGCCCTGTTTGACAGGCAATGGAGACAGGCACATGAGACGCAGTGAGTCATCTTGAATGATGACACAGAGTGAGTTGTCAAGAATGCTTCACGGTTGCGAGGACGACCAAGGATTGTTCGACAGGAAACAATCAATCGAATCCATTCTACTGGCCGGGGTTTCACGGGGCCAGGGCGCCGGAATTTAGGCCCTGCAGAGAGCCCTGCAATTAAGTACCATGCTATGTATATGTACCTACCTGGTAGGTGGTAAAGTACATGGGCTCCTATAAGGCTAGCGCAGAGATGCCCCGCTAAATATCATGCCCCATCCTGTTCGTTGCTCCGTGGCAACCGGTATTGTTGACCTTCGGAAGGGCCCAGCTCGAGATTTTGTGATTTTTGTGGGCAAGAAACTACATAGTGGGTGCATTTTTTGGTGGATCTGTCGCTGTCTACTGCTGTCATACATCGTACTCTTCATATCTTGATAAAGAAAGGAATCTCCTCGCTCAAATCAGCACAAGCATTCTTCGCAAGCACACAGCAAATCCTACATTTTCTCAAAGGAAAAAAAAACCTTTAGGTCACTGCTCGCACTCACGCTCCAACTTTGCACACACACACACACATTAGACTTTCGCATCAACATATACAGACTCAGTCCGTACAGAGTCAACATCACTCCCAAGGCCTCGTCTCAGCTTCAATCACCACAATGGGTTCCGCCAGCGTTCTGTCCGAGAAGGACGCCAACACCACCCTCAAGAACCTCGCAGGGACCGGAGCCTCCAAGGCCGACATCAAGAGCATGGAATACCACCGCCAGGTGCTGAAGTCCAAGATGGAGGAAGAGAAGTACGGACACACTGCCACTGCTACTACTACTACCACCATCACCACCAACAACAACAATAGCATTACTACCATTATTATATCCCCTTCTGCCGTTGGCGCATCTTCCTCCACCTCCTCTGGCCTTGGTACCACGACCGCCGTGAATCCCATGCAGGCATCCTCCATCACCACCTCCTCCTCCCAGAAGATTATACATATCCACAGGACACTTGCCGGACTCGCAGCTAACCCCAATGCCTCTGGCACCCGTAGCTCTGCACAGCAGTACATCTCTCCCTCGGACAACATCATGAGCCCCTGCACAGCCAAGCTCAACGCCCTCAAGGGCCGCCACGCCGGAAAGTGAGTTGACCATTACGCTGAAGCTCTCGTATTGATTCTCGATACCTACCCCATCTCATGTGTAATTCGCTCGATCCAAACTAACGCGCTATCAATAGGGCAAAGCCGAAATCGCTATTCGCTCAGGCATCCGCCAAGAAATTTGTCGGCGAGAACGTGTTCGGCGCCAGGAGTGCGGAGCAGACCTCGTCGGCAAATGGCGCCGCCAGCAATAGCAACAATCTACAGCCAGGTCTATAACAGACCTCGTGATAGCACGTCCGAAGCGGTATATCTATTTAGGTATCCCGATCGGATCTGACCGTTGTACTACCAACAAACCTTGTTTCTTCTGTGCTTAATAGCTGGCCCATATTCCAGCTTGACTTTATAGCTGGACGGATCGGTATGCGAATGCTTTCTGCAAATGATGACGACCATGTGGAAATAGATGTTTCTTACTCAGTTTAAGGATAGGGGGTCAAATTGTTTGTATGTGGTTCCAGTCGCAGTGCTTAGGGTCAAATGGCGTTTTTTTGCGGGATATGGAAAGGAGTCTGGATGGAAGGAATCCTATACCTACTGCCTTCCCCTTGCGCTCAGGATAAGGGCATTTTAACGACTTGACATGATAAATACAAATACATGGCTCTCAAACACACAAACTTTAGACTCTTAACATGATTGATTATGTAGCCCTACGCTTGCACTGCAGTTCGAAAAAGCTATGTATGAAATTGTTCAGGGAATATGTAGATTAGCCTAAGCCTTGAAGGCACTAACTATGTAGACTACATCCTCGTCGGCTACTACATGTCCTAGACCAACACGTTGGGGGACATGGCGTGCGCTTGCTCCCCAAACCAGCGCATACTTGTATGTCTCTTTCAGGGTGCGATGGATTCGATCGCAAACATCCTCAATGGTAGCGCCGCTCCGGACAATAAGAGCCTCGGTCAAATCGGGCTCGACACCCTTGCGTTTAGTATAGATGCGTATGAGGCGCAGCTCCTCCCAGCAGCGATCGACGACATCCTGGACGCCAAGGTCAAGCTCGCAGCTCATGACGGCCGTATTTGGCTCGCGTGCCAAACGATCGAGGAAGTCAAGTGATACGCTATCGATCTTGTTATAGACGTAGAGGCACTTGATGTACTTGCGATGGTCCTTCATGATAACATCGATCAGGTCGTCAACTGTTGCCTCCTCGTCACGCACCAGCACTTCGCAGTTTAGTATCTTGGAGTCTCGCAAGATATTAAACACCATCTTCTCGTCAAGCCTCTTCGGTGGGTTTTGAAATGTGATTTTCATGCCACCTGCTTTCTTTACCTTCAAATAAATATTCCTAAGTCGGTCAGTATTAGTAAGTCTCTTTATATGCAGTGCTCTGGGGAAGGGTGGTTCGTACGGTGGTTCTCTATTCAACCTAATACCGACCGCCTCCAATTCAGCCTCCAGCAGCGCGCGCTGTTCGGCTTTCTTTGTTGCATCAAGAACCATGAGGATCAGATCACTCGTCTTAGCGGCCGAGATAACCTGCCGTCCTCGCCCCTTGCCTTCTGCAGCACCCTCGATAATTCCCGGCAAATCAAGTAACTGGATTTCGGCTCCACCATACTCGAGCACACCAGGAATTGCCGTTAATGTCGTGAAAGCATATGATGCTACCTCCGATCTCGTTTTCGTGACCTTCGATAAAAATGTCGACTTGCCCACGGATGGAAACCCGACGAGCGCTATCCTTGCATCTCCGCTCTTACTAACATCGAATCCAGAACCACCACCACCGCCAGCGCCGGGGCCGGGCTCAAGAAGCTGCGCTCGGAGTCGGGCGAGCTTTCTGTTTGAAAATCTTAGCTTTAGATCTCCAAGACGTGAACATCAGATTATGTACCCTTTCAGAAGACCAAGGTGATATTCTGAGTGAGATGTCAGCGTCATAATCCGAGTAAGTTGGTTGAGATATTCGGCTTACCGGTTGCCTTGTTCTCTGTAATGCGACTATTGCGTCAGCATTGACATCGGTTAGTCCATAGTCCATCGCCTCAGAGTTGGCCGCCATAGCTCTCTCCCAGAAGCATCTCGTGGCACAACGGAGAATAACGCAAGCGGACCACATACCGAGTGCCACGAGATTTATCGTGAAAGGACTAGTAGACTGTCCTCTAGGCGATGGATTTCGAGAGCTTACTCTGAGTCCTCCTCATCTCATCCTCAATCCTATGACTATCAGTCTCGCCTTCACTTCTCGAAAATAATCAATTTCACTCACTCCTTAATCTTTTCTGTAATGTTCACCATCTTGCCGGTTTATCTTGGTTTCGATGGGATTGCCAAAGTTATTAACAATTGAACTAATCCAATTTGGCCCAGCAAACCTACTGGCCAAGGATGCAGATTATGTAGGCTCGGTAGGAAGAACACTCTATGAGCTTTCCGGCTCTTCAAGGGACAGGGAGTCGATACATAGAGGCAAGTAATGTACCTAGGTTGCTCACGCATCGAATGCCCCCGCCTAACTGGGTATAATGGCGGCAAAATTAACGTGGGGTTACTACACCAATCATTTTTAGGTTTCACCGCCTTCCGTTCTCAGCGGATCTGAGGTACTCTCTAGGTAGTTAGAGCACTTCCATAGATATCATCTCTTACACCTCACCATGGGATCAGAAAAATACCCAGATTACCTACAACATCTTTCGGAACATGTTATCCCACTTTGATTCAAAACTATGCATATTTCGTGAATTTTCAAACATATAGGCTGAAGAAAGGAACGATTGCTTCATTAACAGAAGAAACCCACTGCCTGTCATCATTATGTACCATATCGGTTGCCCATCTCGTGGTCTAGGCTAGCCTCCAGACTCCACCTGTGATTTCAATCTTAATCTCTCTATTTTCATCTATACTCCTTCTACCTGCCTCGAGGATGGCGGTGGTTGCGATTGTATTAGCCAGAGTTGGCAAGCCCCGTGCATCCAAATCAGCAGGTTTGAGAGAACCGCTGTTGACAGCTCGGCAGCCATCGACGAATTTCTCAAACGACACGTATCCGTATCCACCTTGCCCATTAAAGTTGCCCTCCTCATCGGGAGCACTGTGATATAATGATTAGCTATCAGCGTATCAACCAGAATATATGAAAGCAAGAAAATCCCCCGAAAATGTAGTTCCATCAAGCCCAACAGTTCCGATCATGGAGGAGAGCGCAATCAGAAAACAAGAATAAGAGTTACTTACTATTTCATATAAAATGGATTATACCACATTAGTTGTCCAGCCGAGTCATCCGCGACGTCGTACCCGCGCTTCGCTTGGTTAATACGGACTTCTCCTTCAGCTGCCATATAGTGGAAGTATTGGTTGGAATGCACGCCAGCCTTCTGCGGCGCCGTCCAAGAGGCTGTGTATACACCAGTCGCAATCTTGCTCGGGTTATCTTTCTTTTGCCATGTTACCATTACGGTAATGGTGTCCTCGGTGGCGTCAACACAACCCAGGGTCGTTGCGATGCCCTTGGCAGCCGATCCGGACACCTTCACGGGGACAAAACCTTGTTGGGATACCATTGAATCACAGATATCTATGTGATGACTGTTCAGGTAGTATGAGATATCCGAATCGATCCCAGCCCAAGCCTTGAATGTCTGGAGCTGAGACTTCGGCTGGGACATGTAGCTGTAGAAGTAGTTGAAGTCGCCCAGTTTCTGGGCCTTGTACTTGGCATCGGCGTAGGCAGGGTCGAATCGCTTGTGGTGCTCGATGTAGACGTAAACTCCGTTTTTCTTAGCTGCTTCTATGAGCGATTGGTGATGTTCTAGAGTCTTGACTGCTGGCTTGGTAATCATCACATGAATTTTGCGCTCAATGGCATACAAGGCGATAGGATAGTGAGTTGTGTCTGGCGTGAAGATTGTGATGGCGTCGCCTGGTTTCAAAGCATCTATAGCAGCCTTATACGCATCTGAATCTTTGGCGTCGTTTGCTGGGTAAGAATCAAAGGAAGTGTCAAGGCCATTGTAGACTTTGGAAATATTCGTTTCTAGGTGCTGTCCTTCGAGTAGAGCATTATCAGTCACAACCAATACAGCACGACAGCTTTTTGGGTCGCGAGGCACACTGACTTATAGCAGGGAATTTGGTTCCATTGGTACCAGCCATGCTCAGTTTGCCAACTTTTCCTCTTCGCCGGAGGTCGAACAGAGTCAAACCAACAACACCAACCTTCTTATCAGAGCCTGAAGCTCCGCCACCTACGAAACCCGTGGTGTACTCGCCGGTACCGACCTATGTCGTGTGTCAACTGCTGAAAATAAGCCCAATAATTACCATTGTGATTGATCTCACCATCAGCACATTCAGAGGGTCAGCCATCATGAATAAGCTATTATTATTTGGTCCTGACTGTATAATTCACTGCTCACGTCAAAGCCACGCTGCAGTAACTTGTCTGAACACACAGTTGCGTCTTCAACTATTATTAGCAGGTGGTCTTCCCATAACTAATTCCGAAAGCTACCCTGGCGAGCCTGGTCCACTCATTAGCCAACGGAATAATTGGGGGGATAGTTGGAGGTGTGCCGGACTACCAGTTCTCTACCTAGTTTCTAGCAGCAAGCGGGTAAGGAGGGGGGGGCTGTCTACATATAAGTGTTGCACATGGTGGACTACTATTCTACGTTATCGCCGTGCTATAGTGCGGAGAATCGTGTCTCCATGAATTAGAAGAAGCTTCGAACATCTGTTCGATCTCGTTACTAAGCGTACCCACCATAAAGACGTGTCGCGCATTGGTATCAAGGCACATTAAAACTATGTGTATAACCCAACGCGGGTCTGATACCTGGTAATATCTGTTGCTGGCAATGTGTTCGATCTTGAGGCTTCTCGTCGGCGGTAGAGCAATAGTAGATAGGTACTTGGTCTAGGCCAGCAGGTCTCCTTAGCAATACATACATAGATACATAAACCTAGAGGCCTCGTATGAAGACTGCTTATATCTATATCTAAGCAAAGACTCGCGAACATGACAATCCAGGTAACATCTAGCGCAACTGAGGTAAAAGCCGCTGAGACAGGTACCTTTTTGGTCGATCGAGGAAGGTGGGGTGCGCCAGGCCCCGCCCCCACCTAAGGTGCGTTGACCTCCAAATTGTCTACCCCGCCATGACTTGAACTCTCTTTTCATCGTTCGTCGTCAATACCATCAATAAGAAAATATGGAAGTGGCCTGAAACCTCCACAGATAATTGTCCTGCCGGCTTAGGACGAGGCTATCCGAGGCACGCACAAGATGTTTCATCAACTCCAGCTACCTGGCTATGATATGAGCTAAGGGCAGCAGCCTCACGTCAAGGTCCAGACCGGGCCGTTTACCTGCATATGACTGGTGGAAATTAATAACTCCATGTAGAGACGCCTCGATGCCTGAAATATCATTCAGTATGAGTGCTGACCAAATACCCTCAGAACTGCAGGCACTGTGTGAGTTTGCTTAGGTATATAAGGGGAACGAACATCTGCAGTGATGCAACCGTCGAGTTTTCGTTCGCAGATGTATATCCAATCATAGTGACACCGTCGGTGTAACCAAACTTGGGTCACTACTACGTCCAGATCATTGCTGCTACTAATAGTATTCCTTAATCACTAAGAATGGATAATCATAACATCGGTAGAGATGGGAACTGCTGGCTTGGCAATGATCGGTCAACATTGCGTAGAGATTGAAATGGCATCCAGGCCAATAGTATCAGCATTTCCATCACCACCCGCCACTAAGGTTGGCAGGTTACGAGGTGATCGCTCACATGGCAACATCCGGATAAACGTTGCTCTTGATTAAATGCTGACCACAGCTTTGAAGAGCTAAAGATGATAGCTGATGTGTTCGAATCGCGGAACGTTCGTGGGATACCGAACCAGAACACTGAGCGCCTCAGCGAGCCACCGCCTTCGGTAGCCAGTCACTCGAAATATCCCCGTGCACCTTATTGCTCTTAGCTTACTCCCCAAGCAGCGAAGTTCGGTGCCCAGTAAATTCTAGGTGCAAGTGCTTTTTCGGCCCAATTCATCACGAGCAAACTGCTGGAGCGAGTAAGGTGGCGTCTCCGCACTGCTCATGACCCACTGGCGGCATGATAGAGTGGGTTGAGGAAGAGTCCAACATTTATTAGCTGACCAGAATTCGACTCTTGTTGGAGACCTTCTCGTCGGCTTTTGGTTTATAAAGATGTAGACTGCTTTCTAATTCTCGCCCTACATGTCCATGTCTATCTTACTCAATATCTCAATCCAGCTTTTCCAGCGTATTGTTTACTAAAAGACCCGTTCAACTACTTAGTCATATTCAGTTACCAAATTCCTCATCTTATACATACTACATATATACGCATTCATTCTACACACGTTTCAGACGACGATGGCTGCAGTCAACGGTAGCGTAATAAGTGGGCATGTGACCACAAGGCGACCTTTGCCCTGTGGTATCTACGCACCAACAATGAGTTTCTTCGATCCAGTTACCGAGGATCTCGATATCCCAACCATCAAGAAGCATGCTGAGCGTCTTGCACGAGATGGTCTGGCTGGTCTGGTAACTCTCGGCTCCAACGGAGAGGCCGTCCACTGCACCCGCGAGGAGAAGGTGGCCATAACCCGTGCCACAAGAGAAGCGTTAGATGCCGCCGGTTTCACAAACATGCCCATCATCGTGGGAACAACCGAAAGCAGTGTAAGAGGGACCGTCGAATTGTCCAAGATGGCTGCGGAGGCTGGCGGCGATTATGTGTTACTTCTCCCACCCAGTTATTACAAGGCGCAGGTTGACGAGGAAATGATTGAAGGCTACTACACGGCTGTAGCAGACGCAAGCCCTCTCCCTATAGTTCTATACAACTACCCTGGCGCCGTGGCAGGCGTTGACATGGACTCAGATCTAATCATCAAACTCGGCCAGCACCCCAACATCGTCGGGACCAAGTTCACATGTGGCAGCACAGGAAAGCTCACTCGCGTCGCCCTGGCCCTAGACGCGAAGACGCCGTCTTCAGAAGGCAGCGGCTACATGGCCTTTGGCGGCATCTGTGACTTCACCGTGCAGACCCTAGCGTCGGGTGGAAGCGGCATCATCGCGGGCGGAGCCAATGTTTTCCCCAAAGTCTGCGTCAAGGTGTGGAACTTGTACGCCGAGGGCAAAATAGAAGAGGCCATCAAACTGCAGAAGATCCTCTCTCGGGGCGACTGGTTCCTTACCAAACCAGCCATTGCAGGCACGAAGCAGGCGATCCAAAGCTATTTCGGCTACGGCGGGTACCCGCGTCGACCTCTCAAGCGCCTGGACGAGGCCAAGGTCGCAGCCGTAGCTGAGGGAATCCGAGACGTCATGGAGGTCGAGAAGTCGCTGTGAGTTCTGCCACTTGGGTGATGCGATTGGCTTCGCGGCGGACCCTGCTTGCATTTGCGGTCTTCTGCTTCCCACCTACCTACCTATACACCGCATTCGGTCCGGTTATATGCACATCATATAACAACCGTGAAGACCGGATTCGCTCGGCTCGGGGAAAATGCGGGGTGGAAATCTGGGGTCGAAGGGATGCGGCTCTCCTTACCACTCGCTTCTCGGCATTGCATTAACTGAGGGGAGACCGGCGTGCAATGAGCTGTGCTAATTCTTGACGTTCTTATATAATATTTTATGTTTATATTACTCTTGTGTTTCGGCGAGAGGGTGCGCCTAAGCCCTTATTTGCTGCATGGTTTGATGTATTCACCCTCCTTCCAAATCGATACTAGGAAATGATACATATAACCTGCATCTTTCCTGCGTAAATCAAGTCACATGATTTTATGCTTTGCTAGGCTATGGAACAGTATTGAGCATAGCATCCTAGAATATTGCTTAATCTTATACTAAAGGAGACCGTAAGAGAGTGCCGGATAGCCTAGAGAATTCCTCTTATATCTAGATACTTGATACATATCACGTAAAGCTCACTTCCTCTGTGGTCGTGCAAGGACAAACATACTCTTCCCTCCTCATCGGTTGTCATCAACCGTGCTTAAATACCGATATCTTACCTCGGTGCCCCCCAAGCATCCAGGACGTGGCTTGATTTGTTGCCAGATACTAGGTAGTAGCTAGGAGCAAGAAACCCAACAGTGCAGCGCTTATTAGTTACCTGTAGATATTCTCTAATTGAAGTAATATACATCCTGTGGAATTCGGGGAAGAGAGAAAATGCGGAGTAAAAGAAGGGAAATGTTATATTGTTAGTGACTATTGAGGCGCATAGGAATAGAACGGCCGTCGTCGCAATTGTGAAGACTGGCTATCTGGCGTGACTCCGTCTACGCTGGAGAGAAGGACTACAGATTTGTTTGATACCAAGTCACTACACAAATGCAACGGGATTAGATTAGAGCTACCATTCTAGGCCCCGAGGCGTTCAACATCCATTTATTCCCTAAAGAGGCGTGACGGAAATGAATGCCTCTCTGCCAGTAAGCTGCAACCAAAGAAAAGGAAGAATGATATTACTCTTATGATATACCTTCCCTTAGATAGACGACTGTATCTTAAACATACTCGTTCTTGTGTTGGCGTTGCGATCGGGATTGACTATTGTGAGAACGATTCTTATTATGTTTTATTATACGGATGTTTATATCATGCGCTAAGCTGTGGGCTTCTATGATGAAGCGAAGATTATATACCAAATTGCCTGGGGTCTAGCTCAGCGACATCTGCGCTTTTCGCGGCACCCTCGAAGATGAACTCGCTCATCAGCTTCCCTGTCGCAGGCCCATTCTGGATACCCCAACATGTATGACCTGCCGCAACCCATAGTCCCTCGACGGCTGTACCACCCACGAGAGGAGTACTCTCCTGTCCAGGGCGCATGTGTCGAGGCATGTAGCAAGCTTGTTTGGCAGTGACGGGTGCTGCTTTGAGGGTTGTGCTTACGGTGCCGATGTAGGCAACCATGTCATCACACTGCGCCGCGTCGACATCGACCAAATCGGCCGTCTCGGGAAGCGGGACGGTAGGATCACATTCTCCGCAGGCATAAACTTCGCCTGGTCGTGCATACATCTCCGGGTCTACGTGGCCATTGTGCACTCGGCGCTGCCGGTGCGGTGGGATCCAATTCGCTGGTAGCGATATGTTTGTGAATACTGCATACGGCGTCACATCCGCCTCGAAAACAACACTGTGGGCGCGCAAGCCCTCTACTTTCGTCTGTGGTAGCAAGCTACTACACCACGGACCTGCTGCAACCACGACATCTGTCACGCCAGGCATCGTGCGTGGCAGTCCTGTCACTCGATCAACATACTCGACAAATTTCACACTACCACGACTTAACCCTATCTTGGTCACCTTCGCATTCAGCCGGATATCTACGCCGGCAGCATGTGCTAAATCTGCCATGGATGTCGTAAACTGGTGCGGATGTACCTGCGCTGTCTCGGTATATCCCTCTAATCCCATTTCAGCATATTCTTCTACGAGCTCGCTATCGATCCAAGTGAGGTCTGCAGGAAGCACCGATTGGCGCAACAACGTTGTCGCGGCTTGGTCTTGCTTAGGCAACTTTTGCCAGTCTTTCCCCTCGGTCGCTTGCGATAGATCCGAAATCCGCTGCAATTGTTCGGTGCCAGATGAAAGCGCCGGAGCGCCTTGGTAGGGCTGTGGTATAACATGTTCTAGTTGCACCTGCTGAATACTTGGCGTATTTTCCTGTTGGTTTGCTCGCTTTGCTTTGCTCGAGGTGGATTTCCTCGCCTTGGACTTCGCCCTTGATCTTGAATTTTTGCCCTTCACGGTAGCAGCGATCTGAACGCATTCAAGTCGCCGGTATCCCCATCTAGCGGGGCCGCCGTGCTCAGCTGCCAGCTCGGCATGCAAACGGTACGAGAGAGGGACTATGCACATGGGATACGCCCAAAGCCCGATAAGCCCTCCAGCTTTCCCCGAGGCGCCAGCGGCGATGGAGGTAGCCTCGAGGAGAGTGATGTGGTGAATCAGGGGGTTGAAGGACGGGTGGCGCGTTAGGTAGTAAGCCGTGGTGGTACCGATTATACCTCCCCCTGCGTGTGGGATCTGGTCAGCTCGGTTCGACAGAAAGGCAAATGAGCGGCACGAGTCACTCAAGCGGGCGACGTAAGTAAAAGGCCAGCCTTACAACCTAGCGGTTGGAGCCTCGGCTGGGAGCGTACCTATGATCACGATATGTCGCGGTCGGGGTATGCGACTGTCCATCGCCTCATTGACATGGCCGATCGGATGGGGATAATAAGGAATACACAATCCAGCCGACAATGAAGGAAGCAGTACCAGTGAGAGCAGCAATATGGAGTGTTGAAATGAGTGAATGGATCGATGTTACCAGGTGTAGTTGCACAACCCGTGCGCCGAAGCAACGGCAATAGAGCCAATGGCGACCCTTGGCCTAGCCAATCAGCCAAGCGATTGGGCGGGCTCGTAGCGGTGCTTAGCACATTGTCTTACTTAGGTACCTACCTACATAGGTACTTAAGTAGTGAGTGTACTTGAGCTGAGCTTAATAACTTCGTTTCATTCATTCTGTTTTGTTCTCTGATCGTGTAGAATGTTCGGACAATTTTGATGCCTGGCATTGGGAAGTACCTGAGTAGGTCCCTCCTACTGTCGCTACTTACTGTAATGTCAACTTCGAGAAGATGGCAAGCCCGCCAACATGCAACGTACTTACCTACTTGCAGCCAACATCCTGAAGGTGTCACTGCCCAGCTAAGGATTGGCTAGTACCCGCATTTACTGAGATTATACCTCTAGAGTACTACGGTACTTCGTAAGTAATCTGCCTCCGAGCCTATGGTAGGAATGATGCAAGTTCTTCAACATTAATTGTGGGTGCGTATGCAGGAACATAATCCAGGGTTAGCCACTAGCCACCAGATATTATTATGTACCTAGGTACGCAGCTGTTCGTAGCCAACTGCTAGATACCTAGTACCTACACTAATCAAATACCTTAAGTACATATGTACCTACTTACGCATTGCCATGCATTGCATTATCAACTTCTAACATTATGAGTCTCATGAGTGCTTCTTCTCCAGTCGACATTCTATACCAAGTATATATTGTACATATAAGTATGTGGCATATACGGAGTATTCTGTAGTCTAGCTTCGGTGTTACTGTCCGAGAAAGCCGTCCACGTCCAAAACCTACAGCATCGATATTGATACCTTGTCATTTTCTTTTAACTAGGGCTAGGGCTAGTTCTAGGACTAGGTACCTAGGTACTATACATTTCCTTTCCTCCAACAGACCAAAAGCAGACCCAAGTTCTTCACGCCCAGCAGGGATGTGGTCGCGTCAATCACGCCTCTAGTAGCGTGCCTGTTGGCATACATATACCTAGATACTTAAGTACATTCTCAAGTCAACTTATACGGACTTACGACGTACGACGTACGTGCAGCGTCAATGGGATTACTGTAGCCTCGGTGTTGAATATACGCAGTATCGATCTATATGTAATCTAATCAAGCTATACACTGCTGACTCATTTCTCCATTAATCTCATATCGGCATCCAGCAGATCGATCCATACTTTAAAACAAGAGTGCATACGTAGCTACGAGTAAGTGCCCGGGTGAGACCCATAACCCTTAGTCCCTAGGTAGGTATCTAGGTAGGTAATACGGTAGGTAGATCAGTGCTCGAGGGGATGTTAAGCTGCCTCTAGCCGCTGGGACCGGCAGTTTCTTACTAATATCTACCTACTATGTACATACCTAGGTAGGTAGGGACCGGTAGATTTGCTCTTGCTATCTGCCGATATGTCAGAGCTTCGTTCTCGCCATCATAACTCTAGGTAGGTCAGAGTAGGTAGGTAGGTAGGTAGTAAGCGTTTGGCCTCAAAACATAATTGTAGGTAAGGCTTTCTACTGTAATATACGGTGCACTTACATGCAGTTGTGGTTTCGTCTCGGATCTCACAGCTGCCGTGGTCTTCGGTGGTGCCTAGTATAAAAATTGCACTGTTCTTGAGCTATCTGGCGGACTGACAGACCGAGAAAACGACCCTCCGAAGCTCCCACACAAAGCTTGCAGTGATTTGTCAAGAGGTGCAGCTTGCAGCTTAGCTTGGAATTGTTCTTGGTTGCTAGGTGGGTTCCCGCGGGGCAAGGCCTATGAAGCTCGCATACCTACTTCGTACCTAGGTAAGCTATCGTCTTTTTTACTGTTTCTTGTCATCGGTCATCCTGTCATCCCACCATCAGGACAGGACCGTCCCCGGGGCGACGTTCAGCAGAGCCCAGGGAGGCCATCAGGGCGGATGGTCTTGATTTCGACTGGCGGCGTCTCGAGTCGCTGGATGATAAGAAGTTCTACACAGCCTTCGTTGGCTCTCACTGGCATTGGTAATACTACTGCTACTGCTGCTGCTGCTGCTGCTACTACTACTACTACTATTACTACCCTTGTACCGCTCTGTATGAAGCACGTCGTTTTAATGCCGCCCACTTCGATTCCCATCCAATGCCATCCCGTATCGTCCACTCCCTTACCTCCGTAGCCTAGAGAGGTGCTACCCTACCTACCTCCCCGAGCCCTCCCCTACTTACCGCATTGAGGGGCAGCAGTGCTACACAGTACGCTAGTGCATCCGGGTACCTCGCCGGTACCTCGGCGCATGCCTGCGCGCGCCGCCTTCCCATACCTCTCGTCTGCATATCCTGCACAACACCTCTCCGGCGGCCCGTACCCTCGGCGTACCTCTGTCTATCAGCGCCATTGGGACCCTGCTGACTATTTTTGTAATTGAGGAAAAAGATCACCTTCTGTTGAAGAAGTCTAGAGTCAGAGCTCCCACCGCTCGTCCACCGCTCATCACAACCCCCACCTATAATAAGAATCCAGCTGCAACGTCCGCATCCCAGCCAACTTCTTCATTCTCTACTCTCTCTGCCGCCTCTGCCGCCTCTACCGCCTTTCCAGCAATCTCCAGATCCATAGTCACAATGGCCGCCGCCACCACTTTCTGGGACTTCACCACCAAGGACAGTACGTAGTAGCTCCCCAACATCTCCCCGTCTCCTGTCGACGTGAGACAGATAGTCGCAAGCAGCCAGCTAACTGCATCGCTTCTGTCAAACAGAGAAGGGCGCTGACAAGCCTCTGTCCGAATACAAGGGCAAGGTCGTCCTCGTTGTCAACACTGCCTCCAAGTGCGGTTTCACTCCCCAGTTCGCTGGCCTCGAGAAACTGTAAGTTGCGCTAGCCTCATTTCTCACCTTTTGTCGGCCATCTCCCTTTGCGCAATCACCCAATCTGATGAGCACCCTGGTGGCACGCTATCCAACTGCGCATACATATATCCAGTTGCAAATACACCGCCCTTCTCCTTTTGCTCACGTTCTAACAACATTTGGATTAGGTACAAGGACATCACTGCTGCCCACCCCGAAGACTTCGTCATTCTCGGCTTCCCCACCAGCCAGTTTGCTAGCCAGGAGGGCAGCAACGATGACATCCAGGAGTTTTGCCAGATCAACTACGGTGTCACCTTCCCCATCCTAGCCAAGACCGAGGTCAATGGCGAGAAGCCTGAGCCCGTCTGGGAGTGGTTGAAGAATGAGCAGGCCGGTGTCCTCGGCATCAAGCGTGTCAAGTGGAACTTCGAGAAGTTCCTCATTGGCCGTGACGGCAAGGTCAAGGGCCGCTGGGCTTCTACCACCAAACCCGAGGCTCTTGAGAAGCAAATCAAGGAGCAGCGTGAGTAACCCCCGATTTCTCTTCTCAATTTCTCTTTTCTCAATTTGGCAGTAAGCTCCTAGTCGAACTAGCTCCAGCATGGAGCAGTTCTATCTGATACTGGGATACATCGCTAGCCGTCTTGTAGACCCGCTACTAATTCTATGTTTTTAGTTGCCGTCCCCAAGAAGGAATAAATTGCGTCATGATGAGCCGCGCGTTCTGAATGAAGAAATGGTCGATGAGGTTTGGAGTTTATGAGCAAAGTTCTAATGTTTGCATTGACGATACCCCCAGGGTGGCCAAGAGAGGTGATCGCTCCGGGATTGAATGAGGCTTCATTCCACAAGGGCCCCGTAGGGCCATACGGATCACTGATTATTTAGACGAATACCACTATTTCCATTCTCACTCCTTGTCCACTTCTCCATGTTAAGCAATGTGACTGTCCTCTTGTGTATTGCAGAGTAAGTAGCAGTGCTCACCACAGATTCGACTTGGCCACCTCACTTCTTAGACTATCTGCTTGACCAGATAATTACCCCTCCAGCTGAGCTCCATTCAGCATTAGTTGTACCTCAAGGTCATAGCAGTCACAATCAGACTCTATAAGCATATCGTGCTCTTACCAAGTGACAGCGTGAATTTTGTATACCATGTATCAGTTTACTCAAGCTAGTGTTTTGATCAACTTGCGACGCAGAAGCATACCATGCGTAATTTTTCTGGGTGCAAGCTCTGACGGCAAGCATGGCATTCGCCCAAGACAGATTCATTATGTTCCTGTCCAAGCTGTGTCTGCACCCTAACGTTGTATTCGTTTCAAGATTCAGCCGCTTCGCCAGGGCATTATATGTTGCTCTTGGTTTCATGGTGGACATATGCTATGCTGCGCTCTTGCGGGACTTAGCTCACCATAACTTAGGTTTTGCTCTTGATGGTGCACATGATAATGATTTGGGCGCAGAAATAGCATTATAACCCCCTTCTTCCATCCATATCGAGTCTATGTGAATGAGTGCCGGGCAGTTTCTGTTTTAGCATGGGTATATTCTGCCGCTCTTGAGCAGGTTGTCTGCCGCTTCTGCATCGGACTCCTTTGTTAGTTATGTGTAGGTAGAATGCAAGAGCACATTTCATCCGATTCTGAAACGCATAAAGAACAATATCACAATTCTGCCTTATAACCAAATACATACCATGTTTGCTTGGAAGGAATGTTGCATTGCTTGAGCAAAGAGGATACATCTACGAAGTTTTATCATATCTTGCTATCCGAACCGTGGTGTCTGATCTCCGTCTCAGGTCCACTGCCGACGATATCGAGGTTATACACACCATAGTGCATTTAGATTTTCGAGCCAATGTGTTAGTCACCCTCTGCTATAGCTATTTGATCATCCCGAGTACCAGTGTCACCTAGGGATATTTAAGTCCGCACTGCTTGTATAACAAGGGCAGGAATACTGGGCTTGGAATCTAGGCAATTCAGATTACAATGAATAACTAAGGTTGCATAAGTCCTTGACCAACCAACTCCTTCTTGGCTGTTGGTGGCTTGACTTGACTCTATATACAACTGGTCTGCCAGCCCAGACCGCCTAGGTCCCTGGGGTCTGTTTCAAGAAGCGACGTCTGTATAACCACACTTTCCAATATTGCCTGCATGTCTTGAAAGATTATGAACAGCCTGCAATGGTCCTTCGTACGGCCGAAGTGCAAGGCGAACTGCATGTTCAGCCGGCACAGAGGTTGCACGTGTAACAGCTTGTTGTAGTCAAGTTCATAGTGGCTTGTATCGAACAAGACTTAGTTGTTATTTCCTTCTCTGGCTTGAGGAAGACTCCTTACGGCATTTCAATAATACTTATAATTCTTCTTTTATCCTAACAAGGTTTAGACTCAATAATACTAGTAAAAGAATAGATTAATAATAAGTATAAAGACATTGAGCACTTTTGATATTATGCATAATAACACAATTCCCAGTCAGCTGCTAGGTTGGCATTAGAGATATCTCCTTGATCAGCTTATATGTTAAATAAACGGTTGATATTAGTAAATATTTGGAACATGTCACATACTTGAAAGAATACGATAGTTGAAAGGCTATAGCCGAGTAAGAAAGCATTCCCACTCAGACTTAGATGATAAACATAAGTTAATTAGCCCAACCTCGAGAGAGGAGTACATATTGGAGGGGGGATGCCCAAAAAAAAAAAAAAATGACGACAGCATGTCTAGGATGCCTTAAGGAGACAGGCCCGCTAGGTCACGGCTGGAAGTTCTGTTTCAAGGAGCGGAATTGAGACTCGGGCACATATTCGCCTACACTCGGCGGTAGATTGACTACTATTTCACAATGGCTGTCACTGGGTATTCAAGCTTATTAAGGGAGAAAGCGACTATCAGCGGTTGAGAGGTCTGCTACTTGGTGTTTAAAACTTGTTTGATCCTCAAGGTGTCCAGTCCTGCTAGAGATGTTGAGTTATTATGCCGACGTCTTTTTGAACCTACTTCGTCGTGAATATTGACGGTCCATCCTTGATGGGAAGAGTGTCCCAGGTTATAGCTTGGAAATTTAGGCTAGCACGTTTAGCAGATGTAGTACATTGAGATTTAAGACGAGTCTTGAGAACAAATCCTCGTTGAGGCTCGAATTTGTGAGCTTGAAAGCAGACCAAGTCTCACTATTGATAACTTCATTGCATGGTTTCCTTCCCAATCCGTTTTCGAGCAAGCTGTACGAAGCTGATCCTGTCAGTTTGTATCTGGGATTGGCACTTCAGAGTCTGTCTCAGGCCATAGTGATTCTACATTATGTTGTAATCGACAAATAGTCGATGTTGTAATACAGTGAGAAGGCTTCAGCATATTCTTCTGGTAAGTTGTTTCTGACACCTTGCCAGATAGGTGTCAACAGCGCCCGAGGTATCGTAATATTGCGGCTGAAAGGGAATATATCACTTGTAGTCTGAGCGCTGAGAGATCAGCATGCTAAGCGAGTTTCCGACCACCCCTTCATCCACACTTCGAGTCCACTTGAAGGCATGTGTGGTCACTAGAAGAAATTTGTCACAGCTGGTGGCTATCAAAACATACATGAGTATCCTGTAGTATGTGAGTATATAGGAACTCCTGCTCGCTATGCAGGGCCCCTATTTCGTTAAGAGATATATACCCCTAATTTCTCATATGAACTATATTTCTTTGAGCAGTATTTTCTACACATATAAGAAGAATTATGAGAATTGATATTACATTGTAAGTGCTTACAAGAGGGAATACGTTTAAGATGACACCTCACCGTGACGAGAACCTCGCACGATTGATCAACATAACGAAGAGCTCATATAACAGGTCTACGCTGAACTGATTCTAGAAGACTACCTAGTGTTTGTTAGTAACGATAGTTTAGTGTATCCCGCTACCATACCCTCCATCTTTCTCAACCCAGTTAAGGGTAGAATACATGGGAGGGTATGAACTTGCATGCTGTGTCAAGTAACGGGTGAATATTTTATGCCCGAAAATATGGCCCCAGATCATTCTCCAGGTAGCATGGTAATGGAGACTAAAAGTACGCCGCTAAGGTTGCCGGCACGTAATTCTTGAGGTCTCGCACCAGTGTATGGGTAGGGCACACCAATCTGGACACCATATATCATAGATTCACTCAGCTTCACTGGATTTACGCGTTATTCTAGTGAATATAGTGGCCAGAGGAGCACAAGGCCACAGATGTTAGGGAATTGAAGGTCTTGAAAGTCGGGTATACCCCGTTTAGGCTATATTATAGCCTAGCAGACCAAAGCTTGTGAGACATACACATAGTAAACCATGCGCTGTTTTAGTGTGAGATGTCTGAGACGTGCTATATATGGAGGCGTATGATTAGCTCTAGTCTTTGGGAGCGATTTACCCTCAAAACTGTTGCTATGTCTCACGCCTGTCCAGGTGAAAAGAGAATCAAGGGGGGCGAGGACGTATGTAATTGGATCTGTGAATTCGCATAGTTTGCCGACACTACAGGTAAGACATAGTGTACTTATTAGTTAGCTATGTTGGTCATATTGATAATAACATCTATCGTATCCCCCGGATCGACAACCGCTTGGGGCTCCATAGGGTTGTTAATCAATCGTCTTTTGAGCATGTATAATTCAAGATGTTGTTATCATAGTACACATACATTGGCCTACTATCGCCAGAAGTTTCCACGTATAAGTGGGAACTTATTGACAGCTCTATATAATCGTCGATGTCTGTTATGATATTACTGCAACCAACTCAATTGTTAGCTCTCCTCATACTAACGTCAGCGTGCATAGCTCACCATACTGGCGGTATATGCGAAACCAAAGGCGATCGTCAATGCGGCTAACAAGTGTTTTCTGTTTTCCATCAGGATGCCCAACAATCACTTACATGCTGACTAGACTTGGACGGTCAATATGTGTAGCAAGTAGTAACCCTCGCCAGTGTTGCTCGCACATGGACCATTTACCAGTTGACAGTGCATGACGCCTGAGGAATATGTCGAATCAAGATAGAATTCTGTCGCTGCTAGAAGCACGTGTATATTTCAGCCATGCGTGAAAGGCCCGATAGAGACACATGCGTGATGCTCCCTTTCCCGCGCTCGGACATTCTCGCCGGCATCAATCACCTAACGGGAGACCCATAGTCACCAGTACGATCCTAGTAAGTCTTTGCAGGCTTCTGTCTTCTGGAACATTGTTGTCAGACGACGACAAGACACTACAAGACGCTAGATCGGGTTGTACCTTTTCGTTTTAGACGCCACGTATAGTACTGCAATTTTGGTGGTTTTTTCTCCCTCGCGTTCTCACCAATGGGCCAGACGGAAATAGAGATGTTTCAGCAGTTCCAAGCTTACGTAGAGGGAACCAGACACTCTAATTTGCAGAAGCACGTCCATTTTCTCACAGATTTTAGTGCGTCATACGATCGTGGCGTGTCCAAAGGTAACCCAGTCCAACAGGTCTGATGCCTGCAAGTCCCTACATACCCGCGCCGGGATGAAGCCTCGAGCGGATTCATGGCGTCTAATACACGCGTTGAACGGACAGGATAGAAATAACAGGAAATAGGTGCACAGTACCTTGGTATTTTTCAACTCAAGGGAATCCTAGTTTCTGAGAAGCCGCCGCAATCATTAGGACAGTTTTACCAGCTTCTTAGAGAATCCTGTTTGTCTCGCATCTTTGCCCATCTACACGGTACTGGCAAATGCACTAGGATTATACCCTTGATCATGAGAAATTATCCGCTTTGACTGTCTTTCCCGCCGGCATGATCCCATACCCGGTTGTCGTGCTGACTGCTCGGCTGATTAACATTACATACCCTGCCGCCCTTAGTCCGGAGGAGCGTCTATCCTGCGCGCTGTTCTGTAGGGCACTGGCAACCGTGCGACACCGGTGCATGAATAACAGCAAATAAGCTTAACTTATTCTACGACGCCGGTTCATCCTCCGGCGTCCCGGAGCCCACGGACATTCGCAATTGATTGAGTACCGTATGCACAGTATAATCCGCCGACAACGACAACATGGCGCGGCGAATATGATGGACGTAGGAAAACGGCCATGGCACCAATCAGACTCTCAAGGAATTAGTTGCTGAAGATTGCTAAAGCGTAAGCAACAACAGCAGTTGAAACCCCTTTGAAGCTTAACTAGAATACCGTCGAACTATTCCTGCTTGTGTACCCAGAGGCTTGAATCTACCGGTACCTACATCTAGGTACAGACCTGTGCCATCTGCTTCCCTACTTACACAATATGGCAATGTACCCGGGCCACCTGCATCCACAAGTACATGGATAGTTAAACACATACAGTAGTGTATGTATGTAGTGCCCTGCACATGCGGCTAAGAATCACAAAAACAGGGTAGCGATGTGAAGCGGTCTACGATGCACGTCAGTGAATTCCACGAAAGCAAGTCAATCGCTCACATGATCTATCCCCCTAACCCAACTACCATCTTACATCGCATTACTTACATCCAAGCATCTATTAAAGTACATGCATATGGTAATTACACGCTCCGGCAATTCGAAGCGAGACCGACAGATTCCGTAGCCACCTCCGTCAGATGGCGTCAAAGACGGCATACCGTTCTCGGATCTCACAATGCCGACACCATCCCTAGGTCAGCCAGACTAATTGAACTTAACATGACTTCTCAGAACTCGCGCCCGCAAAGTCCACCTATTCTAGGCAAGTTGTCTCTTACCACAGCTCTCCTTGTCTTCCGGAAAGCTACGTAGCGCAGTATATGGTGCAGTCTAAGAGGAGAACCGGCGGCCTGCGGTTCAAGATAAGAGGATCTCGTTATTGAAAGAAAAACCCTATACCTCGCCCTACCTAGCAAGCTCCGGAGGCGAACCTCTTTTGGCGATCTCGTCACTAGATTAGCGTGTGTAGTGCCAGGTAACGTATCTGTTCCAGCTAACTTAGTATAACTAACCTAAGCAATGTATCCATCCATCCTACCTATCTATCTTCAGACACTATCTAGTGTGTTGTAGTTATCTCTACCCTAAACGCCCGGTACTTGCTTTATTTCACAAATGGGTCTCCACAAAACCCCTTCAAGGAGGCTAAGGTCGCGAAAGAGGAAAAAACGGCCCATGGCAACAGGAAACGATAATCATGCTGTACCGACTTACTGTACCGCTGTCTACGCTAAGATATTGCTTCCCCATACTGCCCGCTTCGGCGCTAGTTCCAGACGGCGCGAAAGTCGTCTACATATCCTTAAATATGTACATGAATATGCCACAATGCATGTACATACTTACATAGTAAATACAAGGGCTGCGAGATGTGGGTAGTAGCTAAGCATGGAGCTGTACGCTAGGTAATAAGGAAAGATAAGTCCGTACATACATATGATGGCGCGCGGGCAAAGGTAAGGTTACTTACACTACACCACATAGCACAGCACTAGGTATCTCTCCCCCGCGTCCTTTCATCAGATGACGAGCAATATCCGCTTGCACAATCTGTACGTAATATCAACTTGTAGCCTTGGAACTCGAAAGCCCAGACCGCCAGAATCTGGAGTACAGTAGGTTATGGAGAGTGCACGCGCTGCTTCATACTAGGATCGTCGGACCCAGCAGGGACCGTACATCTTGAACTTTGGTAGGCCTGACTTGTAAGTGAACCTGACCAAGCTCCATCCCGTAGTATCGTAGTATTCTGCAGTAAGGAGTTATGGGCCCCACGTTATGTAGGATTCGAGTAAGTACCGCGGGAATAGCTTCATGGTTCGCATGTTAACAAGGTCCTCAGACTCGGCTATCGAAAGTCGGATCACTAACGTTGTATATCCTCCGAAGAGGGGTGGGGGGGGACTTGCTTATAGAGATCCTTTTATCAAAATCTTTGTTTACTACTGTAAGTGGTAAACGAGTTAGTATTGAACTCGGCCCAGGGGCGAAAATGCGAACGAGCGAGCGACTGGGTTAGGTAGGCTGAGCAGCATAACAACTACTGTAAGGACCTAATGTACACCTTCGTCGATGAATTTAGCGTACATGGATGAAATCGGACGAACACCCCCTACGATATCGTCGGTAAGTGACATGTGATGCCGAATACCTAACCTACCTCCCCGGTACCAGCGGGCTATTTTTAAACAAAGAAATTCACACAGACTTAATAAGCACGCCCCTGAACCGCTGTCAGTCCAGGTACGGTTTCATATTGATCGTCCCTCTGTCCCTAGCGAGGGTTGATAATGGAGACCCGGCCGCCGCCGGTACTTGAAATAGATATATATCCCTTGTCCGAATTGCACCGCCTGCTTCTTCTCGGCGATGATGCGATGATAAATCAATATTTCCTGCTGGCGAAAGTGTAGCATCTACACAAGGGAATCGCACTCCAAATCTCCGAAGCAGATGATGGCGAGTTGGGAAATAAGGTCCGATTGCCACTGAAGCCCAATTACGATCATAGTCTTCCGAACTACTTAGGATCGTTGATGGTCATGGTCATGGTCAATGGCACCGCGCTGGACTGTCCACGAGCCCTTGTCCTACCCCGGGTTTTCGAAGCCGGGCCGAAAGGGATGAGGCTAGCGGCACAACACCTGCAATGGGGGGCCTGGTCTTGCCCTTCAATGGTGTGAGCGGAGGTGACCGGCTTCGGCAATCGCTGAATAGTGTAGGTAAGTACTGTGGTTTAGGGGGCGGAAAATAGCAATTGGGATGTAACGAGCCTTTTTGCTGCTGGCATGTAGTCGTCTGACTTCCTTCGCTGCTTGATGTTCGGGTGTTTTATCGGGGATTTTATTTTCTCTTCCTTCTTCTCACGAGGCTACGCTGCAGTGGGTTGGATGTTGATAAGAATAGCTCAGACCGATACCTACTTAGCTACTGTACCGTATCCGATGAAAACGCAAGGTGACATGACGTGGTCTGATGATGCGCCTCGCAATTCCTTGCCTCGTCGTAGGAGGCGAACAGATGCATGCCTAGTCATGTAGTCAGGATCGTGGGCTTGTTTCGTAGTCAGGCATCATTCAGTCCTCTCTTATTCTCCTCTCCTAGCCCGTCTCGGCATTCGAGCGCGGGTTCCCGACCGCGCGCCCAACTAGCGCGATGGTTAGCCCATCCCACTTCCCCAGATTTTTACTAATGGGCTAATGGCCAGGGTTTGCTGGCAACGGACAGGCCACACCACCTCTGCATCTGCTCTGCACCACCAGCTAGTGCCAATACCATGTAATTTGTGAAACGGACTTGGGCAAAATAGATGAAAGGTCCCCTGAGGAAGTTCGGAGATAAGATCTGGGAGCCAACCCACTTCCGTCGTACAACGCCCAATGAGATCCGACGGCCCGAGCTTCTTGTCGCCCCAGGATGCAAGCATCAGATTTGGTGACAAGTAGGTAGGTAGGTCAGTAGTGTACTACCGTACATATCTACAGTCCACTCACTGTATGCCGCATTGTTTTGTTCTCCGAGTTCCTGGCCCTTGAGATAACATCCCACACCACACTCCCCTACACTACTAGGTATGTACACGACCCAGACTGTCTCGACTGTGAATGGCGGGCGTGGGGTATGTAGGATTGACCCTTCGAGGCCCCCGCTTAATAACCTTGGTCTGCCCCTGGCGATGAGGCTGAGGCGCTGAGATTGCATGCATTGACGAGCCGGCTGGATTCGCACTCGATACCACTTTGTGTGCCTCGGCACTCCTGAGCTAACCCCATTTCATCCTGCAGCCGCCGTGGAGGATGGCAATTGAAAGTCAGGGCAAAGATGGAGGGAAAAGACTGATATCTACCATCTTGCTGCGGATGTAAATAATGGCAGAGACACAATACCCCACCAAAATCACATAATAATGCATGGTAGGTATTGTACTGCGTCTTGCACGCTAGACGCTAGTAACCGAGACAGCGATTGACGCCAAGGATACTTACGTGCATTACTCAGGCCTCGTTTGCACACGACCAGTTGAGCCTGCTCTCCGGTTCGCATCCCGGGCGGATTTGTGCTAGGTTACTCGGTCTAATGTCGGATTCGTGGCGGCTTTGACGTTCGGAGTTGACATGGCCAGCTACAGCAAGTACGGTACATTCACTGCTGTAAGCAAGCAATTTGCACGCAGCAGATGGCTAAGTGTATCTGAAATCATCCATTGCTGACAACGAGTTATCATCGCATCTGTCTGATAGCTAGATACCCCTTTACATCTACCTATCTGTGTTGCTTCTCGGGCATGCCGATCAACGTCTCTCGCTACATCCTGGCCAGTCGTTAGCCACAGAGCCGCCGCATATTCCTAGCGAGCAAGCGAAGGATCAGGAACCAGTCGAGACAGTACCCTGATCTACTCTGGGCGTCATGCAGGCCTTTACATAGATGGTATTATTGCTCTTTCAACAAAAGACACCACGATCCTAAGCTAACATGACTTTTTTATTCTTTAGCCTACGAGGTGGACCGCGA